CTAACAAGGAAAAATTGGAAAATGAAATTAACAGAAGCAATTCCATTTACCATAGCATTCAAAATAATGACATTTTAAGGTTTCTACACCTGTTTGTAGAAAACATTATGAAGAGAAATATAAAAAGACCTAAATGAATGGAGAGAAATAGCATGTTTGTGGACTAAGAGGACTCTTTGTTGCTAGATATCAGTTTTCCCAAGGTTGATTTATATAGTTAATGTAATTCCATTAAAAAAAGATTGCATCAGGCTTCTTTCTTTGAAACTATCACCAGTTCTTATATTTTTATGGACATGCAAAGGACGTAGAATAGGCAAAGCAATTTAGTTGGGGGAAGACCAGAGTTGTAGCATATATATATTGCTTGATTTCAAATTTGTATATAGTTAGAAAAATCAAGACAAAAATGACCTTTGCATAAGGATAAATAGGTAGTATCAGTTCAGTGGAGTAGAGTTCAGAAATTGACCCATGTTTATATTCAGCTTACTTTTGACAGATATATTATTGTATTCAATAGAAAGTTCTTTTCAAGAGAGATGCTATGTATCTGGGTGTAAGAAAAATTAATATTGATCCCTACCTTACACTTATATAGGAAAAATGAAAACAAAAAAAAGTACCATAGGGCTGAGGATGTAGTGATATAATGCTTGCCCAGCATGTGCAAAGCCTGGGTTCAGTATTTCCAAAAAACAAAATGAACAAGCAAGCAAGCAAATAAACAAACAACCACAACAATAAAAACAAACCATAAAAGGAAACTCAATAAATTAGACTTCACTGAATTAAAAGCTTATTGGTCCTTTAAAAAGGTATCATTGTGCATATAAACAAATAGATAACTACAGACTGGGAGAGAATATTCACAATATCATCTGCCAGAGGACTTGTTATTCAGAATATATATATATAAATTCTCACAGTACAAATAGCCAAATTCTTATAATCCAAATAAAACGTTGGCAAAAAATAATTTCACAAAAAATATATGAGTATCAAATAAATACATGTCCAGCATTGTTATTTGTTACAGAGATATACATGAAAACTCCTGAGACATAACTACATAGCACTAGGATGGCTGTGATTAAAAAGACTTAAAATAGCAAGTGTCAGCAAGGGTGAACAGCTGGACTCTCATATATTGCTGATGAGAGTAGAAAATAGTTTTAATGGTTGAGTCCATTTATATGAAATTATACAAAATGCAAAACTATAATGTTAAGAAGCAGATCAGTGGATGTATGGGACGGAAATTGGAGGCAAAGGAAAGGGAATTGCTTGTTGAGACACACAAAGAAGCTTTGTAGTTGAAGGGAATGCTTAATGTCTTTGATTTTGGTGTTAGTTACATGTATGTGTAACAATTGTCAAGACTTCTTGAATTATACACTTAAACTGCATGCATCTTATTTTAGACATACTTTAATAAATTGATTTTAAAAATAAAACCAAACAAAAACCTCCTGTTTCCTATTTGCTCCACAGAAACCTAGAGGAAAGAACTACTCTGAGAGGGAAACTGTTTTCTAAAAGTAGCTTAAAGGGACTTTTTGTGTGTGTGTGGGGGGGTAAAATATACATAACCTAAAATTTACCATTGGAACCATCCTAAGTGCATAGTTCAGTAGCAGTAAGTACTTTTATATTGTTGTTTATCTATCATCACCATCCATTTCCAGAACTTTTTTCATCTTTCCAAATGTACTTTGTATCTATTCAACAATAACTGCCTATTTTCCCTCCCCTTATCTCTGGCAACCACCACTCAACTTTTTATCTCTGAATTTGACTACTGTAAGTATATATAATCATAATCATAGAATGTTTGTCCTTCTATGTCTGGTTTATTTTACGTAGCATAATATCTTCAACATTCAACTGCTTTGTAGCATGTGTCAGAATCCTTCCTTTTAAAAAAAATTTTAGTTGTAGATGGACCTTTTTAAAAATTTTTTATTTTTTATTTTTTAATTTGTATGCAGTGCTGAGGATTGAACCCAGCACCTCACACATGCTAGGCAAGCCCTCTATCATTGAGCCACAACCCCAGCCCCAGAATTCCTTTACCTTTTAAGGAAAGAATAATATTCCATTGAACATATAAACCATTGTTTGTTTGTTTGTCAGTGCACAGTTGGGATGGTTCTACGTTTGGGCTATTGTGAATAATGTTGTTATGAACATGGGTATACCAAGCTCCTGGTTGTTGTTGTTATATATTCAAAGTGGAATTACTGAATCATTTGGTAATTCTAATATTTTGAGAAGCTGCCATAACATTTTTCACAGCAGCTGCACCATTCTACATTCTTTCCAGCAATGCACAAAAGTTCCATTTTTTCTGTATCTTTACCAATTCTTGTTATTTTCTGTTGTTTTGATAATAGATAGCCCAGTGTATATGAGAAATATCTCATTGTGATTTTTATTTGTGAAAGGGAATTTAAAGTTTCTTAGTCCAAACCTGTCATTTCACAGATGAAACTTAGATATTAGTTTACCAGAGACACTAGATAGAAGATTTCATTATTTTGTGAAACATTTTAATCATTAATGTTTATATTTGGATGTTCAGGATTGTGTGTTTTTCCCCCTGTAGATGATCTCTTTGTGAGAAGCTGTAACTAGTCATATTTTGTATAGAACAGAAGCATTTTTTAAAGTTTTATTAAAATGTTCAATAACAAATCAGTCTAAAGTTTGGATGTTGTATGTTTCTCCAGATTCATACGCATATGTACACTAATCCAAAATAAACACTGGAATTTATCATTTCCATAAACAGTGTTTTAAAAAGTATTGTTGAATGAGTTTTAGTATTTTCCCTCCAGCTTTATTTTCATAACAAATCAGTCTGAGTTTTTTTTCTACTTTATTTTGCTAGTTACCATTTAGATTTATGAGGTCCCAGGGTGCTGAAACTACAGTAAATTCAATGTATAATATTCTTTTAGAGTTGAATATCATGATGTAATTATCATGTGTTCAAGTAAGAAGTAATACATATTAAAATGTTTGGTTTTCATTTTTAGTGCTTACTCTCTGTAAAATCGACATTTTATGTGTTTGCTGGCAAGTTTATACCAGGACTGGTAGATTCATTGACTGAAATGCAGTGACCACTTAAAAAGGTAGCATAATAGAGTATACCAGTAGGGGCTGGGAGATGAAATTAGTGCTAAACTCTGGTACTTATATATAAACTAGTATTTGAGAGGGTCTGGCATCACACCTCATACACTGACATTATCAGCACACTTGGTTAGGAACACTTTTCCCTTCCCATTTCAACATGTTTATTGATATATATATATATATATATAATCTTTTTTTAAGTTGTCAATGGACCTTTATTTAATTTATTTGTATGGTGCTGAGAATCAAACCCAGTGCCTCACACATGATAGGCAAGCGCTCTACCACTGAGCTACAACCCCAGCCCTTGAGTACTTCCTTTGTGTCTTACATTGTGCCTGACACTGGAATCAGAAATGAATAAAGTGGCTCCTACCTTTCAGGAGCTTACAGCCTAGAAGATACAGACCCATAAACAAAATTGTTAAGTACAGTGAATAGTCTTAGTAAAAAGTATAGAAATGTCATAGAGGTGGAGAATAGTGAGTTCTTGGATGTGGCAGGACCATCAAAGAAGGATTCCTTTAGATAATATCTGAGGTAAATTTTGAAGGTGGATTATGAATTTGTCCGTTGAAGGATGGATATTACAGATAGATTAACTTCTTGGGCAGGTACAGATGCAATGAAACATAATGGTATGTTCAAAAAACTCTAAACCCATAGTTTGTGTCGGGCTAAAATATGAGCCTTGATAGATGAAAGCTGTATTTCCCTTTATTTTAAAGTATTGAATGAAAAATCAACCTAATAAGATTAATGAAATAATAGAGGCAAAGATGAAATTTGAATATTACATCATAAATCTAGGATATACATTATATTCCTGTTTCTGAAAAGGTCTTCTTTCCCCTACTCCCTTCATTGTTGCCGCCTTCCCCAAATGTGTGTGTGTGCGTGCATATGTTCATGTTTGTATATAGCAACAGAATAATTGAAGGAGAAAGGAGTTAAGAATTAAGATCCTTTTTCTGGTGTTGGTTGTTGGTTGTCATATTCTTGCTTGGGTAAAACACTTTATCTTCCTGAGCTTTGGTCTCCTTATTTGTATAATATGTACAAACTATTATAGTCTATGCTTTTTAAAGTATTTTGGGGAGTAAGAATTCCTGAATGCCTATAGCGCAATGGACACTCAATACGTATTTTTTTAATGAAATGAGAACTTGTACCAAAAGAGAATAATTAAAATAAGTCATGATAGTAGAAGTAAGCAATGAAAGATTTATGTACAGACCATTGCTTCTCAGGATACTCTTATTATATATAATATAAAATATGCTCAAGCAATTTGTCTTTATAAATTGTTTTACTTACCATGTAGATTTGTGAGGTCACAGGATCTAGAAATGTAGTACCTTTATATGTAAAATATTAGGAGATTTGAACGTCATATGGTGTCATCATATGAATTAAGAATTAGTGTATATTTAAAATGTATGAGGGGAGCTGGGGTTGTGGCTCAGCTTTAGAGTGCTCACTTAGCCCGTGAGAAGCCCTGGGTTCAATCTTCATCACCTCATTAAAATAAAGGTATTGTATCCAACTACCACTAAAAAATAATATTTTTTAAAAATGTATCTGGTTTATCATTTCCTCTTTTAATTTGGCCATGGCATAAGTTTTTGGACTTATTCTTCGGCTTATGATTTTTTTTCTTAATAATTCATTATAAATGGACTTTCTTTTCATAACCTTTACTTTTCTCAATCTGAAACTAGTATTTCTTACGCTGCTTTTCCATTGCTGTATTTGCATAATGTTTACTTTAGGAGCAGAGGATTATAAAAAATCCCTTTTAATGTCATAGGGTTACTGTAATATACTGTTAATATAATTTATTTCTTTACCTTTAGGGATCCTATTGGGCAATAGACACCAATCCGAAGGAAGATGCGCTGCCTACTCGGCCAAAGAAGAGGGCACGATCTGTAGAACGGGTAAAAATTCTTTATCATAAATTTAGTATGACAGACTGAATGTGTCAGATGTAAATTTTCAAAAGTTTATTTCCAGTATAGCAAGTATAACTGTAACCAAGGTAAGATTTTATTTGTATAGTATTTTGTATTTTTCCAAGTACCTTTCATACCCATTATTTTATTTGATCTTTACTATGAGTGAGGTGAGCAGTTAAGGAATTAATTAAAAATAAATTGCAAATAACCTTTCTGGTTATATAGAATTTTCCTTATTGTTCTCACAGTGCTTTTTCCTGCTAGCATCCATGTAATAGTCACTTTGTACACAAAATCTCTGCCTGTGTGTTTGTTGTTTGTAAGATAATTCTTACTTGTGAATTCAAGTTAAAATTAATTTGCAGGAATAAAGGAGAAAAGAAACTATCGTTGATATTCTTGATTATATTTTAGTCAACCTTTTAACTGCCATCATACATTTACTTTACCCTTTAACTTTTCCAGCACCCCCTTTTTAAATATATATATATAAGTTGTAAATGAACACAATACCTCTATGTTTTTTATTTTTATGTGGTGCTGAGGATCGAACCCAGTGCCTCCCATGTTGTAGGCAAGTGATCTATTGCTGAGCCAAAATCCCAGCCAACATCTCAATAAAAACATCCTCATACTTTGCATTACTCTTCTTTAGATCCATTCCAAGTGTTTACCACTTTGTGAAGCTTTTTCTTACTTTTTTGTGTTCTTACGAATTTTTATAAAGTTTTCTTCTAGTATTTCTCATACTTCATGGAAATTTTTTGTTTCTATATGTCTTTTTCATTGGACTAATGCCCTTTTAAGGGCTTTAGTAAAATTATGTGTGTGTGTGTGTGTGTTTGTGTCACTGATTTTTGTGTTTTTCTCAGTTTATATTGGGTATCAGAAAGTGTTTGCAGAGAGAATAGTAAGATGAAGGAAACTGAGTAAATGTTTGATCAAATAAATCTATGCCTTTTCTTCATAAAGGAATGGCTTCTGAGTCTCAAAGGCAAGGACCTTAGACAGAGTTAATATTGTGATTATAAGAGCCCCTGAGGTACTACAGAAATGGGGCTTAGTTGGGGTAGCATGTTTGAAGCCAGCAGAGGAAATTCAGTAAGTCAATTAATTATCAATCTGTATGGAATTAAAGGTGAGAGTTCTTAGGTCATAATATTTGGCTTTACACAACCAAAGATTAAGAGGTTGAAGTTTAAAATTGGTGGTATAGTCTTCTGGTAACAGATCTGAACAGTTTCAGGACTGAGATATTGATATGCTCAGTGTGTTGTGGTTTGCGAGGAAACAAAGCTCAGTTCCTACCTTCATGCCTCTGCCTTTTGAAACAGACTTACCACTTGGACTTGTTATAGAACTGTGAAGTACAAAACATTTAGCTTCTGTTGCCAGAACTTGAAGGAAAGAGAGAAAAAAATCCTCATTTTTATTTTATTTTTTTATTTAACCCACACCATTACAAAACAACTTGGATGTATAAGTTGAAGGGCTAAGGATTTGTGGTCCTTTCTGTTATTTATCTCTTCTTCTGAAGGTTTCTGAAACTTAAATTTTTTGGAAGTGGGAATTGGTGGTTGAGTTGACAACTGTGCATTTTCTTTTTGGATATGAAGCCTGCCTTTTATTCTGTTACACTTGTTTCACAATTTTTAGAGAAATCCTTGTTTATTTCTGAGAGTTCTTTCCTCCCTTTTTTTTTTATTTTTTATTGGTTGTTCAAAACATTACATAGTTCTTGATATATCATATTTCACACTTTGATTCAAGTGGGTTATGAACTCCTATTTTTACCCCTTATACAGATTGCAGAATCACATCAGTTACACTTCCACTGATTTACATATTGCCATACTCATGTCTGTTGTATTCTGCTGCCTTTCCTATCCTCTACTATCCCCCCTCCCCTCCCCTCTTCTCTCTCTACCCCCTCTACTGTAATTCATTTCTCCCCCTTGTATTATTTTTCCCTTTCCCCTCACTTCCTCTTGTATGTAATTTTGTATAACCCAGAGGATCTGCTTCCATTTCCATGCATTTTCCTTCTCTCTCCCTTTCCCTCCCACCTCTCATCCCTGTTTAATGTGCATTACAATTCTTAATACACCTTTATACCACAATTTATCATATCTCTGATTGTATATAAAGTATATTGACACCAAATTCACATCTTCATACATGTATTTGTATAATGATGAGGGTCTCCTTCTACCATCCATGCTATTCCCCTTCTCCCTCCCTTTCCCTCCCACCCCTATTCCCTATCTAGAGGTAATCTTCCTCCCTTGCTCTCCCTCCTAACCCCATTTTGAGTTACCCCCCTTATATCAGAGAAGATATTTGGCATTTGTTTTTTTCGGGGGGAGGGGTTGGCTAACTTCATTTAGCATAATCTTCTCTAATACTATCCGTTTTCCTGCAAATGTCATGATCTTATTCTTTTTTTATTGTGGAATAATATTTCATTGTGTATAAATGCCACATTTTTTTTATCCATTCATCCACTGAAGGACATCTAGATTGGCTCCACAGTTTAGCTATTGAGAGCACAGTTTTTCATGTCTCTGGTTGTACATGAAGTAGAGTCACACCATTCATGTTTTCATACATGTATTAGAGTAATGATGTCTGTCTCATTCTACCGTCTTTCCTATCCCCATGCCTGCTCCCTTCCCCTCCTTCCCCTTTGCTCTATCTGAAGTTCATCTCTTCCTCCCACACTGCTCCCCCCGCATTATGAATCAGCATCCTTTTATCAGAGAAGACATTTGGCATTTGGTTTTTTAGGATTGGCTGACTTCACTTAGCATTATATTCTCCAGTTCCATCCATTTACCTGCAAATGCCATGATTTTATTTTCTTTTAATGCTGAGTAATATTTCTTTGTGTATATATACACACCACATTTTCTTTATCCATTCATCTACCGAAGGGTAGCTATATTTTTCTTTTAGCTTTAAAAGTTGCTATTTCTTATGACTTTTGGCAATTGTGAATTCTGCTGCTGTAAACATTAATGTGGCTACATCACTGTAGTATGTGTATATATACATATATATATCTCTCACCAACAACTATCCAAAGAGGTCAGCTGTAAGTGAAGTACATAAAATCAGTAAGACAGATATTGTTTAACACTTATTCTGGAAGATAGTTATTTTACAAAAACATAATTTCCTGCCCCAATAAACAGATGTGTGTATATTTTCTTTTCCACTTAGAGATTTTTTTAAAGTTTTACTAAGGAAATGTTTATTCCAGTCAAATAAGAATGATTCTTAACATGATCTTTAGAGATGTAAAGTTTTCCCCCAAGCTGACCATGACCCATATGTTGAAAACTTTTAAAGGATAAAAGGACTTTTGAATGTAGATGGTAAAGAAATTAACAACCCTAAAAGTTCTTCGCTAAATTTCTGTGAATGCGATTCCATTGTCCATGTGTAAATATCAGAATTCTATGTAAAAAAATTAAATGTCTCATACACTTTTTATTTTGAAGATAAATAAGCTTTTAAAAAAATTTTTAGTAGTCAATGACCTTTATTTTATTTACGTTTATATGGGGCTAAGGATTAAACCCAGTGTCTCACACCTGCTAGGCAAGCACTCTACCACTGAGCTATAACCCCAGCCCCAGAAATAAGCTTTTGTATTTATTTATATGTGGTGCTGAGAATCGAACCCAGTGCTTCACACATACTAGGCAAGTTCTTCCACTGAGCTATAACCACAGCCTCTAGTCTGATATTCTTAACATCCTTCTCCAGAGCACTTCTCTGATTTCCCTTCATTTTCATGGTTATCAGACCATTTACTCTCTTTTATTGTAATATTTCTTTCTTCCTTCTTTTCTTAAGTATTTAAATGTTTCTCTTCCTTTCTTCCTTTTCTTTCATCTTCTTAATTTTTTGTTTTAAAATCACACAGTGGTCCTGAAGATCTTAAAATAATGGATAAAGTTGCAGTATTTTTTAAAATATCGAGAAAACATTGAATAAAGTGGTAACACAAGGGATTTTTCAACTAGAAGTTCTGTATTTTTCTTTTAGCTTTAAAAGTTGCTATTTCTTATGACTTTTGGCAATTTTAGTTAGTGATCGAAAGCTTCAGTACCCTCACATAAAATAAGAGGGTGGAATTCATAACATTGAGTTTCTGTGTCAGATACTTATTAATATATAGTAATTAATTTTAAAAATGATGACACTGATGAACCATGAATGTTAACTTATCCTCCTGTACTAATAATTGGTACCAAAGCCAGAATTTGAACTCAGGTAGTTTGCCTTCACAGTCTATGCTGTTTACAGTTACCACTAGCATTTGTTAGGCTGAAACCCATAACACTGAATCACATTTCATTTTATATGTGCATATAAATTTCCCACATTTAATATGAACACATGATCAAGTAACATAAATGTGATTATAAATGACAAAAAAAGTACTAAATAATTTGTTAGGCCAACTACTGATAACTAAAGTGACTCAAAATAGACAATGCTGCCTATGAGGGCCTCTGGGAAGAGAAATGAGGCTTTAGTATTGATGTAGAAGTGAACTTTTTTCATAGACATAAAAATAATAAAGGCATTCCACTTGGAAAAAACAAAATGCATGATTGACTTGTAAGTAAGAAATATAGATGGGCATATTGGAAGTCATTTTATAAAGAAAAACTTAAGATAGTGTGTATATATTTAAGAGTAGAAAGATTCCAGTAGAAAGCTTGAAGATACAGAATCTCAGCTGTTCAGGAAGCTGAGGCAGAATTTAAGATCAGTATAGCACAGCACAGCAGAGTATTGTCTAGTGTGTATGAGACCCTAGGTTCAATCCCCAGTACAGGGAGTGGGGAGGAAGAAAGCCTAAAATGAATAGGATCAAGAATGTTGCTTTGATTTCACAATCTGTGGTGTTAAAAAATGAATCAAAACAGTTTTTAAAAGATACTTCCTCTTCACAAAATACTCATTGC